TGTGCTGTAACAAGTTTGATTTGAATAGATTCCATGTTTAATGTTTAATTTGATTAGAGATTTAATTGTTTGAGTACAATTCTTTAATAACAGTAATTCTCCTATTCACTTTATTAATGGTTTAGAGCTCCATCTAGTGGCAAGTTTGATGTTACTTTTAATTGCGATTGCTGGTGTTCATGTGAATCAGGAAGTAGTGAGTGCTCCATGCGGGCAGCGGAAACGATGGCTCTCTTTAATCGCCGTATATTTCTGTGATCTGTAACCTTGCAACAGCATCGCTTGTAAGTATTTATTTGATTTACATTAATGTTCATTATACCTGTATATAAATGTAAACTGTTAAGGTTAAAGTTAATTATTTGTCATTTTCACTGAGCTATTGCATTGGCCACCTTCTACTTTAGCGTCCTATCGCTGTATTGTGTATGTATATAAGAAAAGGCCGTGTGTATTTCCAAGCATCACAGCATATTATATCAATGTGAATGTTATTTTGCTTCTGTAGTTTTGTTAATTTCTGGACATTATTATTTAATGTGTACATTTGTTTATTTGTAGTTTCACTCCATACCCAAGACCATTAAACCTGTGGGCAAACGAACTTCTTGTCTTCAGAGTCGTGTGAGGGAAGGGAGTTTATCTGACTGTCAAAACAAAACTAAAGCTATGTTAAGGACAGTACAGGCCCATTCGTAATACATTAAGTTCACTAGCGATATGTCCCATTGTACACTGGATTTTAAGTGCTGTGGACTGAGCTGGCCTGTGCTTCAGAAGTGCTCTACACCAGTGTTTCCAAACCGGGAATCAAAAATACACTGAGTGAGCAAAACTTTGTGAGATCGCTAGTTATAATGGTAATTAAACAATGTTTACATATGAATAAAAGTCTACATTAAAATCTGTCATATAAATTGGTCTTTTCATTAGAAGCCTACTGATTGCCAGCACTGATGGACAAAATTTTTTAATAATATTCAAAAATATCTGTATGACAGTATATTCTGCAGTTCTTCCCTGCTGTACCGAATATCTATACTTTTCCAAGTATCATATCGAAGTTAGAAATTCAAATATTGTGACAAAATTAATTTTGTAGGGTGCCACAAATTTGTTAAAATTTTCAAAGGGTGCCACGACTAAAGAAAGGTTGGGAAACACTGCTCTACACAACCGTCTAGCTGCAGAGGCACAGGACGTCTGACAGGCAGGACAGTGGACCGCAGTCTGAGCCAAAGACCTCTGCTCTCTTCTCTCTATGCAATTAAAGCAGGGTTTCACACATGTACAGCTGCACTCTGTTCTTCTGCCAAGTTGCCACTCCAAAGAGACTTACAGGAAATTTGACACAACCTGTAATTTCCACCTAGGGGTGTG